GTGTGTATGATGTGTGGGCGTGTATGAGTGTGTGCGTATGAGAGTGTGTATATGTGTATATGTGTATATGTGTATATGTACGTGTGCGTTGAGTATGATAGTACGTGTACTCATAGTACAACAAGGTGTCTATGGAGTGATGGGGAAGAGAATGCAAGGTCGTTCGTTACATCTACGCCATACTTGTGCAACCGCCAATTGTTCTACTCTATACATGTATGGGAGTATATTTACATTTTTGGAGCCTTTTTTTTCTTTATCTGGCTGCCAAGAAAGTCCATTGGACTCCTACGGCCAATTCCGCAAATCAATCCTGGCCATGTACCTAGTAACGATAGTCAGTCTTCTTCTTGTACGGTACGGTGATAGAAGACAGAAAAAAAAAGTGGTGGAAAAACTGGGCACACAAGCAAGTTGTACTATCAGCAGCCACAGTTGCCACGTACTCGTATTGATACCGAGTATGATTTGTTATGCTTAGTATCTCTCTCTCTCTCTCTCCGTCTCTCTCTGTCTCTTCTATGCACCGAGAACATCATGATAAGTACTACTACTACTACTACGACGACGACGACGACGACGACGACGACGACGACGACGACGTATTACCCGCGCATGCCGTATGGGCTGTAATAGAGTAATAGATAAAGGAAGTGAGATTGGGAGAGAGAGAGAGACGGGGGGGGAGAGACGGAGAGAGAGAGCCCCAGCCCTGCTTGCCCACCCCATGGATCTGTTCCACGCAGCCCGTACATGTATCTCCTACGCGGGAGCCAGTATCGCCACGTCGCATTGCTCATATGCAGCGGCAATTGTCGACTACTACAGAATCAGAATCATGCGTGTCATGATGGTTGACTCCCATCCCCGGGTGGTCAGTTACTAGAAGCACGCCATTTGTTTTACCTTGTATCGCCAATGTATAGGAGTACGTATAATATATGATCATCACGTCGAAATTCCCGCTCGGTGATACACGGAGGAATCGTACGTCGTTCCCGTTGCTGTCATGCCATGATACGACGTTGCCTACCAGGCCAAGACCGGATACATGTATATATATATACACATACATGCACATGCATGTTCGACTATTACCGCATCTGTATGCATCAGCCTTCGGCGGCTGAAGGGGGAGCATCAACCCGTGAGAGAGCTGAGAGAGTTATCGAGACGGAGCATTGATGACTGCACAGATATAGAGAGTCACGCGTCTCTGGACGCGCTCTGTACCCCGCAAAGGCAAAATCGCTTTGATGGAACGTCGTGCGAGCATCGAGGAGCATCGTGCTCGTAGTCTATAGGCGTGTATGATGATGATGACACTCCGTAACTCGTATGTTTACAGATAGATTACTCGTGGTAGGTTCGCTGGTCTCCGCTCCGGCTATGGAGAAGATGATGATACTAGCGATAATCTCAGCTCTACCAAGCTACGAGCCCCTCAGATGATTTGCGAAATGCATAAAGAGGGCCGAGCTGTCAAACTTGCGTATAGTACAACTTCCTCCGAATGACCGTCCCGTAAACCTCCGTGGAGACGAAATGAAGGGGGAAGAAGGTGAGGAAGAAAGAGGAGGAAAGGAAAAACAAGATACATGATGATAATAATAATAATAGTAATAATAGTAATAATAATAATAGTAATAGTAATAATAATAATAATAATAATACAAACCAGAATAAAACAAAATGATAAAAAAAAGCAAATCAATCCTTATTTCTGTGCTCCATAACATAAACAGACGGGAATGTGTTTCAACTTCCACACTTCCAGGCCCAGAGGGACAAGGGATACTCCGTTACATGCACCTTGTTTGGCTAGCCTCGGTTTCCAAGCAAGAGAGAGAGAGAGAGAGAGAGAGAGAGAGAGAGAGAGAAAGCTCTCAAGAGAGCAGCAGCGCCAAAAGGCCCAGGAATCGCATGCATCATGGTCTGCGGGGCTCACATCATGTTTCTTGCACCATGGTCGTTTTCGAGCCTGTCCATCATCCTTCTTCTCCTCCTCCTGTCTCGTTATCTTTGCCATGCCTCGACTCTCTACCTACGCATCATACACAGCACAAACCTCTCTGGTCTCGGGCACTCGGTCGAGACTACCGACTGGTCAGGAACGGGCAGATTTCGTTTCCTCTCCCTTCTCCGTCTCAGTCTGGCCCTCTCCTGCTTCCCCATCCCCATCTTCCCCATCACCTCTTTCTCTCTCTCTTCTTCCCTTCTCTCCTTGCGGTGCCAGACGGGATGTGGCGGCCAAATGCGGAACAGGCGTGGTGGACGATGAAATGACGACCGAGACAGGCCTTTGGACTTTCGGAATCGAGAGCAGGAGAAGACTCCACACGGAGAGACCGTACATGTATGTACACGGGCACGAGCAGGACTAATCAGGAGGGTCCCGCACAAACCCAACCTCCCTCTGATCTTGGCCCCTCAACTCTACTCCGTAGTACGAGTAGTACATTGTGGATGTAGTGATGGTAGCAAGCGTGGATGTGGAGTATTGCGGGTAGAGCTCTGGCAATACCATAGTCGTACAGGTACGGGTAGATGATTGCTGCTCTGCTGAGTCTCTACCCGTACCCTCGTACACTCTCAACTCTCCCGTCTGCCGAAGGGATGATGATTTGGCAGTCGCAGGAGCCAGGTCGAAGCTGTGCCGGGAGAGGCTAGCGGATGCATGCATACCCTTGCTGAATCCAATACAGGTGCTCCCGGAGGACGTCTTGACAAGAGGTCCGGGCTTCTTCGAACGGAGAGGCAGAGGGAGTTATCATCATCGATACTGCTGCCATGATATGATTGACATTACGGAGCTCGTATATGCTGATTGTGTGATTGTGTGCAAGGCTCGACGAAATGGGGGTTGACCTCTTTTCTTCTTCTTCTCCTTCTTCTTCTCCCTTCCTTCTTCCTTGCTTCCCTTCATTTCTTTTTCTTCCTTCCTCTTGGGCGGGGGGGGGACCGCCATGACCATCTCGTCATACTTTCCCCATCCTTCATCCCTACCGACCGACCTCATACGAGGGTGCACTGACCCCTCCCAGTCAATGCCTCTCCCTCTCCCCTCACCCTCCCTTGCTGCTTTGGCCCTGTAGCCTGACCTATGCCTCCCACAATACGTACTCCGTACTCCGTACTCCGTAGAGAAGAAGACAATGCCGTGCGAAGGGGGGGGGGGGAGATCCAGAGAAGCAGACAGATTGTAGCGGCCGCAAGCGGAGACTAGCGCGGGCTCGGGCCTACGTAGAGCATCACTAGTCGTACTTGAGTCCTGGTAACGTGGTAGATGCTACTTCTTGCAGCTACTCCGTACGAATGAGTACTCGTAGTGGTATTGATATGCTATAGCCTGTAACGTCAAAGGTGCATGTAATCTGTACTCGCGGTACTACTTCTACTAGTAATATCAGTTACTACGAGTACATATAGTTATGGAGTCGGGTACTTGGGAAAGAAGAAGACTTTTTAGATTATGACAACTCATCTCAGTCCCATCCCTCCTCCTCCTCCCCCCCCCC